CACACACACACACACACACACACACACACACACACACAGGAACAGAGAAGGGAATAGAATACATCTGTCTCAGTTGGGGTTTTACTTCTGCGAAAAGACACCCATGACCAAGGCAACTCTTATAAAGACAACATTTAATTGGGACTGGTTTACAGGTTCAGAGGTTCTGTCCATTGTCATTAAGGCAGGAGCATTGCAGCATCCAGGCAAGCATAGTACAGGAAGAGCTGAGAGTTCTAGATCTTCATCTGAAGCCTGTTAGAAGACTGGCTTCCACGTGGTAAGGGGGGGGGGTCTTAAACTCACACCCATGGTGACACACTTCCTCCAACAAGGTCATACATCCAAATAGTGCCACTCCCTGGGCCCAATATATTCAAACTACCACAACATCCAATTACAATTGGATAATTATGTGTATGACAGAACCCAAGCACCATCAACCATCCTTACCTGCACATATGAATGGAATCTCATTAACAAACAGAACTAAAAGACCTGGCTACCAGGATTCCTGGCATCTTTGCAGTGACTTCCCCTACCTGCTTCTGGGAGTTCCATAAGTTCCAGATACTGTCCAGCTGTTCTCAAGTATGTCTGAGTTCTAGTTGTGTCACAATGGCCATCCCAGTGCCAGTGCTAGCCAGGTTCTGCTACCAGCACAGCTACTCCAGGAGCCAGTGTTCTCACCCATGTGGCTTTTCCTGAGAGTTGGTGGCTAAGGCCAAAGTACCACAGAAGTTCTGGGCAGAGGTGGGAAGTCAGATCCCTCCCAGATCCGTCTTACACCACAAAAGACTCCCAGAAACAGCTACAGCAGCCTGGGTCTTAATCTCTTGGTGTGTGTGCGTATGTATGTTTGTGTGTGTGCGTGCGTGCATATGTGTATGGAAGCCAGAGGCTTACCTCAGGTGTAATTCCATGTGACACTGTTCACATTATTTTCTGAGACATGATCCCTCACTAGCCTGGAATTTACCAAGTAGGCTAGACTCACTGGCCACTGAGTCCCCCTTCTCTGTCCCTTGCCTATCAGCAATGGGATTAGAAGTATTATACCAGTGTTCTACACAGGTTCTTGGGATAAAATTCAGGTCTTCATGCTTGTAAGGCAAGCACCTCACTGACTGAGCCTTCTCCCCAGCCCCAGGCCACCAGCCTTTGCCACGTTGACTCTTGGCTTGTTTAAGAAGGCGTCATTCCAGCGAGAAGGCTTGCACTAAGAATCTCTCAGCATGGCCATCATAACAATATATCTTTATTTTTAGAGAGAAAAAATACATATATATATAGTTTAAAGCAAGTCATCTGCATTTACATTCTTGTCTCTAGAAACTTTAATTCCAAAAGTGGCTTGAATGTCAATGGACTCAGAGAACCTCGTGACCGTCGAAGGCAAGAGAGCAGTGGACACACCAGTAGGTTTCACTCTAGAATCAGGTACGTGTTGAGAGCTTTGCTTCGCAGATTCTTCATCTCCTCCTGCACCCTTTCTCCCACTTTTTCAGATAACTGGGCTGGATCTTTGAAATCCCTGGATATTGGAAACACAATAAGGATATATGGAGATATTAAAACCTGAAAGTCAAGCCTGTGGGTCTGTGGGTAAACACTACCCTAAGGCTGATGAACTGAGTTCCATCCCTGGTAACCACATGGTAAAAGGAGAGAGACGAGTGTCCTCTGGCTTCCACATGCCTGTTTACCATGGTACATGAAGGCCCATGCATATATACACATGCATGCATACAAAATCAATCAATAAATATACTTTAAAAGAATTTAGAAGCTAGAGAGAACTCAGTGGGTAAAGGCAGTTGGTGCCCTGCCTTGATATGGGGTTTTGATTCCTAAGACCCACATTATAGGAGGAGAGAATCAACCAATACACACACACACACACACACACACACACACACACACGCCAAGTAAATAAACTTTTTAAAAACCATGCAAATTACCATGATGTCCCATGAAGGAAAATTTTGCTTTAATATAGAAAAAAAAGCTGTAATTATATTTAGCAGTAACTTACTAACCATTGAGAAACTTCAGCTCCTAAGTGACTAGAAGTGGATTTGGGTCTCAGCTATGCAGTTTGCTACATGGGTGAATTCTGAATGGAAGTTTTTACCTCTTAGTCTGGTTGTTTTTGTCACCCTACAACACCTTGAGGATGACAAGAAGCCAGTCACACAGATCTTACAAGATACAAATCTCAATTCTCAGTCAGCAATAGCTGTGTTTGTATCCATGTGTGTGTCTATGTGGATCTGTTGAGTGCATGTCTGTGTACATGTGAGTGTGAGTGTGAGTGTGAGTGTGTGTGTGTGTGTGTGTACAGAGTCTCACATCAGATATCTTCCTTGGAGGTTCTATGTCTTATTTTTTTTTGATGCAGGGTCTCTCACTGAACTTGGAACTAACTAATTCAGTTAAGCTGGCCAGCCAGCCCCAGAAATCCTCCTGCCTCTGCCTCTTCAAGTGCTGAGATTACAGGCATACATTATCATGCCTTTTCTTCTTCCTCTTCTCTCCTTCTCCTCCTCCTCCTCCTCCTCCTCCTCCTCCTCCTCCTCCTCCTCCTTCTCCTTCTTCTTCTGATACAGGGTCTCTCTATGTGGCCCTGGTTGTTCTGATATTCACTATGTAGACCAGGGTGGCCTTGAACTCACACAGATTCTCTATCTCTCAAGTGCTAGGATTAAAGGCATGTCCCACTATGTCCAGTTTGCCTCTTTGAAAAAAAAAAAAAACCAGACGAACACAAACCATAGGTCCTGGGGTATCAAATTCAGATTCTCACACATGCCCAGTGGGCATTTACTGATGGATCCTCCCTAAATATGGATCCAAGTTTTAAAAATATTCTATTGTTCTTTAAGCAAAGTGTGTGTGTATGTGTGTGATGTGTTGTGTGTTGTGTGTGTTTGTGCATGTGAATGCGATGCCCAAAGAGCCAGAGAAGGGTATTGGATCTTCAGGAGCCGCAGGCAGATGTGGGTGCTGGGAACCGTCCTCAGCTTCTCTTCCAAAGCAGTATGCACTCTTAACCACTGAGTCGTCTCTCCAGCCCTGTGGATTCAGGTTTTAAAGGTTTTGGGGCTAAAGTATTTGAAAGAGGATGCCACACATTTGAATATTTGAAGCGTTGGAGATATGCCTCCTTCAATGCTGGGCACATGTAGATTCAGACATTATGACATTTTAAACTTCCACCTAGGACAGATCTTATCCCGGGCAGAAGCACCCACTTACTTCTCCTTCTTGGAGTCCCTGTGGGTCAGTATGGGGAATTCCACTTGAATCATTTCTGGCGTCAGCATGACTTCTATGCCCTGATCACAGAGATCTCTGAAAAGGAAGAAGATGCTGAATGGAAATGTTTTTTTCTTTCTCAGCATAAAAACAGGATGAAATCGCAGAGCATTTGGGAGCCCTGAGTTTCCCATCACTTTCCAGGGTCAGTTCTGGCTGCTTCTGCTGAATCCATGTGCAGAGAAGCAGAGGGCAAACGAACTGCCTCCACCCCTGACGATGCCGGGAGAGGGGATAGATATTTATAAAGAGCTGTTTTTAAAAAGGGGGTCACAGGTTTCGGGCTCTCTTCAAGTGCACCTGGAATGTTTATCCCTTGAGGCTCTCAGTCTTTATCCCATGTCTCCACAGTAAAGAGGCTCAAATGATTTCAAAAGTTGAGATTCATTTGATGACGTCCTCTGGACACAATGGGATGAAAATAGAGCTAAAGCCTCAGATAACTAGAAAGCCCAGAGCTGCTGTGAAATCAAACAGTGTATTTCTTTGAAATTTTTATTTTTAAAAATCATATAATGTGTTAAGTACCATTATGGCATTTTAGAACAAAATGTGCCTTGCCGGTTCTCGTCCCCGTGTCCCCTACCTCCTGTCACCCCTGCATGCTCCCTGTAGCATCTCCACTGTAGATTAACTCCTCGTTCATGCTCCATGTGTCTTGTCATGCTTGCTCATTGCCCATTGCTATCCTCTGGGTTTCCCCTCTAGATTTTTAAGCTTTACCCACAGCATACCAGCTTCCATGTAAATATGTGTACATTCTGGTCAGGATCTGCATGTGACAGACGGCATTTATGCCTTTCTGTGTTTGGGTCACCTTGTGAACAGTCTATTTCCAAATAGTCTTTAATGAAAGAAATTCAAGTTCTCTCTCTCTCTCTCTCTCTCTCTCTCTCTCTCTCTCTCTCTCTCTCTCTCTCTCTCTGTGTGTGTGTGTGTGTGTGTGTGTGTGTGTGTGTGTGTGTGTGTGTGTAGTTCACAACCTTGCCTTCTGTCTTGTTTGAGGCAGGTTCTCTTGCTGCTTCCTGCTGTGCACCCGGCTGTCTGCCTTGCATTAACAATGCTCCAGTTTTAGACATGTACCGCGGTGTTCAGCCTTTACGTGGGATCTGGGGATCTGGGGATCTGGAGTCAGGCCACCATGCTTATGTGGCAATTGCTTTACCTAGCCATGAACCCAGTCTGATCCAGTTTATTTCAGTTGCATTTAATAGCTCAGGCTTAAAACTAGACTATGAAGTATCTCCCCAAAGGCCCCCTGTTGAAGGCTTGGTTCTCAGTGCAGTGGAATTCTGACGTGGGGATTTTTGAAGTGTTGGATCATAAGGGGCTCTGACTTAATCAATGGGTTAATTCACTGATGATTCATAATTGATGACAGTCATGGGTGATGAGAGCTGTTGATGAAACCCATCACAGGTTGTATGCCTGTGAGGGATGTGCAATCCCCAGAAACTTCCTGTCCCCTGCCCACTCTGTCTCTGTCTCTGTGTCTGTGTCCCTGTGTCTCTCTCTGTCTCTCTCTGTCTCTCTCTCTCTCTCTCTCTCTCTCTCTCTCTCTCTCTCTCTCTCT